CATGGGGTCGGTTGTGCTGATACTACACTCTACACTGTGTGCAGATCCCGGAGCAGCTTACGGACACTAGTTGGAGGGCTTCCTTCAGTCCACCCGGAGACCCAAGGTAGACCTGAAGGCGTTCGCGGGCTCTGGCATCTCCCTCTATCTCTATTCCCTGTTTCATTTTCTTTCGTTCAGAAACAGTTTATTGTATTTTCTTCAGGCCTTGTTTGTAGTGACTCTTAGACAGTCTGTGACACTGTGCCACCAGGTTTTGGGTATTGAGGTTTTGAAAGTTGTAATAGACGTAGTCTTGAGTTATAAAAAAAAAATTGTTGACTTCCACTTATTTATTTAATTCCGCTATTTTCATATTATCGATGGTAATTGAAAAAAAAGTAATTTGTTCATGAAAAAGGTAGTTAAGGGTTGGCTTTCCTAGCTCTCAATTGTATTATTAAATAAAAAAATCAAAATATTTGCTATTGTTATATTTTTATCTTTTAGTTTGAAAATTTGTAATTTCTTTACATTAGCTTTAAGTTAATTTATTATGTTTATGTTTCAAATAAATAATTAATATGATTTTACAAATTAGATTTTAGTTTAGTATTTTAATTAATTTATTAGTTTAAAATCAAGAAATAGATGAAAAAACAAATAACAAAAAGGGGGAAACCTTTATTAAGCACGAAATTGAGCCAAACATTTTAGAAGCCAAAATTTTATCCCCCCCCCCCCCCAACCTAGCCTAGATCGGGTTTGACCCGCCCCACTTCCCCAAACATAAGCTTTATATTAAAAACAAAAGACCAAATCCTAATCTATACCCCCAAACGGCGCCTCCCCCCAGCTCTGATTCTGCCTCGCCCAAGTTCACCCAAACTCGTCTGAGTTTCAGACGAGTTCTTCCCCCAAACTCATCGCACATGGTCCCCTCCTTTCGTCTCTCTAACGTGGCATAACCGTTTCTGACCGAATATTTTCAGCTTCACCACATTCTCATGCGCTTTTGATTTCTTGGGACGAATTTCGGGTAAATGGGAGCGATTGAATGCGAGAAATCACATCCACACCTTCCATTTGTCGGTTTTTGTTCTATGTGAGATTTTTTGTGGCGTTTTCGGATTTAGGAGGAATATTTGGTGATTTCTTGGAGAAAGGGCAGAAGCTTCGAGAGTTGAGTATATATAGTGGGGTTTTCAGAGATTTTGGGCTGGGGACAGATTTTCGGAGAAAATTTTGAGAGGTAAAAGTTCTAGGGCTAGGTCGAATTTCAGATTTTCCTTCAGAATTTCTAGAGTATCTCTTGAAAAATATAGAAACTTCAGTTTTTCTTTTATTTGGATACAGAAAAAAACAAAAAAATAAAAATAAGGTTTGCTTCCTCTGTTTCAATTTTGAAATTTTGGTTGAAAAATGGAGTTCAACTGAGGTATTGGGAGTTTGATTGACTTGAATTGCCATTGCAGTCCTGCTACTGGTTCGTGTTATCTTACTTTGAATTGCTGTTATTTTCTTGCTGGGATTTTGGATTCAAAGCTTTGTAGTCAACCTCACATCTATTATCAAAAGAAAGGTTTGATTTTAGGTTTATCTCTTTACTCCCTCTTAACTTGTTCTGGCATTGATCGAAATATGCTGATAGTTGAAATTTTGTTAGATTTAGAATGTTTATGAGCTGGTTTATGTGAAACCAGTCTGTGATGCAATTTTTGTCGTGAATTCTGTTGTTTTTCATTGGTTTTGGCAAATTTTTTTTACTCAATTGGTTCTGTTTGCTACTGATTCTTTCTTTGAAGTAGTTTAATTACTTCAAGTCATAAATCTGTAGAGCAACATTGTGTTAGGATTTGAAAGAAAAAGAATTAAGGTCTCGTCGTCACTATTCTAATTTATCGCCTTAATTAAGTTCTTCGGCAAAAATGGACAGCTTCAAGTTTTTGTTATAGATGCAGTTCGTTATTTGAAGTCTTCTGTTTTGAAATTAATTTCTGGATCTCTACTATGCTTCTTTGAAAAACTATTTCCTTTTAGTATTAAATTGGGTCCAACTTTAGTTTGAAGTCAATACAACGTTTCAGCCAACTGATTTCCTGGGAGTAAAAAATAATTTTCCATGGGTCATGTTTTATCTTATTTGGTTGATTTAGTTCGAAGCCTTTCTGACTCATTTAGGTGCTAGAAGTTTTATGCTCTGCTGCATCTCCGGCCCAGTCAAGCTCACAATTATTGATTTAAGTCGATTTCCATTACGATACATCAGTTGCTATCCTCTGTTAAGATATGTACCTTCTATTGATCACATTTTGAGGTCGACAGGTCAAAATTGGATTGTTGCTCGATATAGATGGAGTTTCCATAATCCTTCTACTCCTCCTCTTCAAATCCATTTTCAATTCTTTAGCTTCCTCTACATACACTCCTGCAATTCTAATCTCTGTCAAATTACAACTTCTTATTCATCAAAGAGAGAGTTATAAAGAAATGGACGTTGTGGCATTTGCTCCTAGAAAGGTTATCTTTGTTTAGGAGAGGATGGTTGCTGGTTAAAGAATTCTATTTTGTGCATTTTGGGATGCTTATCTACTTGAATTCATCATTTTTGTCCTTTTGGGTGCAAATTCGCCTTGAATGATATTGGCTCTCGGAGAGTGGGAAAAGGCCGAGCCCGTTAGTAATTAATTTATTCACATCCTTTAAGAAGTAGGCTTGGTCAAATGCATAAAATAAGAACTTAAAACGAAATGGAGCATGAAATGAGTTTTATTTATTTATTTATCCTAGTTTTGTTTTACTTTTCATAAACATGTTATTAAGCTTTAGGCGCGATTAATACATCATCACGACTATGGTAAGGTTCCCGTGACGTAGTTGTGATATATAATTTCCAAATTAGGGTGTACATTTCATGTGACCCAACATCAATTTCCAATAATGTTAAATAAAATAAGCGTGTCGTGAACCGCGGGTGCATTTCATGATACGATGTGTTTTCAAAAAACAAATCATGAATTTTCCTAAAAACATTAAAAGCAGCTAGAAAGTGAAAATGCACGAAGGTTTAAAATGTGTTATTGACCAGATAATTAGGCCAATAGTAATAGTTGAGCGACCGTGCTAAAATCACAAAACTCGTGAATGCCTAACACCTTCTCCCGGGTTAACAAAATTCCTTACCTAAATTTCTGTGTTTCGCTGACTGTAAAACAGAGTCAAACTTTCCTCGATTCGGGATTTTAAACCGGTGACTTGGGACATCATAAATTATCCCAAGTGGTGACTCTGAATTTGATATAAATAATCCTGTTTCGATTTTTGTCACTTTAATTGGAAAAACTCCCTTATACCCTTTACGGGTAGAAAAAGGAGGTGTGGCAAGATGAAGATGGAACACTATACATGAGAACATTCAATGGACCATTGGCAGTATGTTTAGGGCTGGGGGACACCGATTGTGTTTTACGGGAGGTCCATGAAGGCACTTGTTGGAACCACTCCGGCGCCGAATCTTTGATTCACAAAATCATTAGAGCAAGGTACTACTAGGATAGCATGGAAAAAGACATCAAGGAGTTTGTTCAAAAATGTGATAAATGTCAAAGTTTTGCATCGATGATCCACCAGCCCGAAGAACAACTTCATTCAGTCATGTCGTCATGGCCATTCATGAAATGGGGGATGGATATCGTTGGCCCTCTGCCATCGGCCCCAAGTAAGGCTAAATTCATTTTGTTTATGACTGACTACGTTTCTAAATGGTTGAAAACACAAGCCTTCGAAAAGGTCAGAGAAAAAGAAGTTATAGACTTCATCTGGGATCACATCATGTGCCGGTTCGGGATACCTGCCGAAATTATATACGACAACAGAAAGCAATTCATCGGCAGCAAGGTCACGAGGTTTCTTGAGGAAGATAAAATAAAAGTTATCTCACCATATCACCGAAGTGGAAACGGACAGGCCGAGTCGACAAACAAAAGTATCATCCAGAATCTAAAGAAAAGATTAAACAATGCCAAGGGAAAATGGAGAGAGATTCTACCCAAGGTTCTTTGGGCATATCGAACAACATCAAAGTCCAACGCGGGGGCAACCCCATTCTCCTTAGTATATGACTCTGAGGCATTGATTCTGGTCAAAGTCGGGGAACCCAGTGCCAGGTTTCAACACACAACAGAAGAATCAAATCATGAGGCTATGAATACTAGCCTCGAACTATTGGATGAACAACGAGAAGCTGCAGTTGTTCGGATGGCTGCACAAAAGCAAAGAATTGAGAGATATTATAATAGAAGAGCCAACCTTCACCACTTCGGAATCGGGGACTTAGTTCTAAGGAAAGTCACCCTCAATACTTGATACCCAAACGAAGGGAAACTAGGCCCAAATTGGGAAGGACCATATCGAGTCCTCAGTATCATCGGAAAGGGATCTTAAAAACTTGGCACAATGAAGGGCGAACAATTGCCAAACAATTGGAATGTGTCAGTCCTCAAACAGTATTATTGCTCAGGCATGACTTTTCCCCTTTTCCATTTGTGTTTGATACTAACTTATTGCATGTGTTCGATCGAAGATGTCGAGAAAAATCTTCAACATGAAAACCTTAGGTTTTAAAGCACATGTTGTACTCTATTTCCCTTAGATCAGTTTTTATCCCAAATGGGTTTTTTCGGCGAGGTTTTTAATGAGGCAACAACTATATGCTACTTGAGGAAAATTCAACAGTATCCAAGGCTTCTTTTCAATCAACCTCGAATACTGGGAGGAATCACCCTCGGAGGTTATAGTTACGAGGAAAATACTTCATATCAAATGCTCTTGATAGGGAAACTTTGTAATGAGCCACACGGTCGAATGAACCGTATCCAAATAGATTAGTCGAGCCCCGATGTGTGATGATCCGAAAGGTCATCACTTATTTTAGAAACAAATCATGTCTTCTGAGGCCTTAAAACCTCCTTTTTACCTTACCCCGATTTGTGTGTGCAGTCCGGGCGCATAGCCGGAAAGCCATTATGTGAAAATCTGTGAAAAATAATAAAATTTTCCTTTAAAATGAATTTAAGTTGACTTCGGTCAATATTTTGAGTAAACGGACCCGAACCCATGATTTGACGGTCTCGGAAGGTCCGTAGGAAAATATGGGACTGGGGCATATGCCCGAAATCAAATTCCGAGGTCCCAAGCCCGAGAAATGAATTTTTAAAGAAAATTATTTTCTTGAATATGTGTGAGTTTTTGGAAATGAAATATGTTTGGAATTTGATGGTATCGGGCCCATATTTTGGTTCTGGAGCCCGGTACAGGTCTTATGTAGTTTATGTCGAGCCTATAAAATTTGGTAAAAAACGGTGGTCATATGACGTGATTCGGAACCTTAGTTGTAAAATTTAAAACTTTGAAAGTTCTTGAGATTTTATTTGATTTTGATGTTAAATTCATAGTTGTTGATGTTATTTTGGTGATTTGATCGCACGAGCAAGTCCGTATGATATTTTTAGGTTAATGTGCATGTTTGGTTTGGAGCCCCGAGGGCTCGTGTGAATTTTAGATAGGCTACAGAATGAAATTTGCACTTAGAAAATTGCTGGTATATTGCAGGTATGCAGGCTTCGCAAAGGCGAATATTGATCGAAAATGCGAAGATGGCTTGGGCAGGCCTTGCTCGCAATTGCGACCACTTGATTGCAAATGCGAATGGGGCCAAAGTCGCAAATGCGAAGCTTAGTGAATATTTCTTGTGTCGCAATTGCAACATGTTCTTCGCAATTGCGAAGATAGCAGGTCCTGAAGGGGTTCTCAATTGCATACCCTGGTCGCAATTGCGACATCTGCGACCTGCAAATTCACAACTTAGCCGAAAATCTTCCATTTATCAAACTCTTTCAAAACATAAACTCCCTTGGGAAATTTTCCAAAGACAACTTCTCTTCCAAATCGATTGTAAGTCATTTCAAACTCGTTTTCTTTAATCTATAACATCTTTTCACATTATTTCAACTCAAAATCAATGATTTTCATGGGGAAAATTGGGTGTTTTGGGTAGAACCTAGGTTTTTCAAATTTTGGAGATTTTGACCTTGATTTGAGGTCCAATTTCAAAACAAATTATATATTTGGGTTCGTTGGGGAATGGATAATCGGGTTTTGGTTCGAACCTCGGGTTTTGACCATGTGGGTCCGGGGGTAATTTTTGACTTTTTGGGAAAAACTTTAGAAAACCTATTTTCATTCATAGGAGTTGATTCATTTAGCATTTGTTGATATAGTTTAGTAACTTGTGGCTAGATATGAGCGAATTAGTGGTGGGATCAAAAGGTGAAGCGATAGTTGAGACTTGAATTGTGTTCGTGGAATCTAGGTAAGTGTCTGGTCTAACCTTAGCTTGAGGGATTAGGAGTTGTGTCCTATTTGCTATGTGATATTTGTTGAGTACAACGTATAGGCATGGTGATGAGTATCTATACGTTGGTGTCAAGCATGCCCGTGAGTCTTATTCTATGACTAATGTGACTCCGTTTGTATTGTTCATGCCTTAAGTGATGGCTTCTATTGTTGAGCAAATCATATGGAAGTAATAGTGATATTTGAACATTGAGGAGCGTTGGCTCAAGTTGTAATGAGTTGTGGAAGCATAATTACCAATTGAATCTTATAGAGCATTGGCTCGAGTTGTGAAGTGAGTTGTGAAGTAAAAGTGAAAAAGAGAAGAGAATTATTATATTGTCTCTCTG